GAATCAAACACGAACTCATTGACGAATAGAAACAACAAGCCTTTTTGACAACTCTAGGCACAACAAGTGTTCTTCCCCTTTTTACATCTGCACTATGATTCGTGCAAATTATACGATGAACGGCGATCCATGACAACTGTAATAATTGAGGAGGATTAATTGATGAGCATTGCGAGCGGGGAATGGCATGAAGAGTTGATCCATTCTCGGCCTAGTATTTGATATTCACATCACATAATTCTCATGTATTTACATCCATAACACATAAAAATTGATATTTATGTTTATAATATTGATTTTAAAAATTATGAACGAAAATCCATATTTTTCTTAATAATAGTGATTTTGTAATGTAATTTAAAATTTTGAATGATATGTAGGTAAATATGCAAAATGCCCCATAAATTTATTATTTTTTTAGAAAAATATTTTTAGCAAGTTAATATACTCATTAAGTAAAAAAAAATTGATCAAATTTTTGTTGATTTTTATAGTAATATATGTGTGTGTGTATTTTGAATATTTAGGCAAAATTTCATGATTTTTTTTAATCAATTTCCATTTTTATTATTTAATTTTAGAACAATTTTCATGATTTATTTAAATAGAAAATAGTGATCTTTAAGGTGACTGACAATCCATAGTTTGATCCCTAATTGACTAATTCATGAATCAGTAATAAGTATATGAATTCTGTTGTGGGAGTATGCAAATTGTGTTGTGCCAAATATAAATAATTATATTCTTTATTCTTACTAGAGAGAACATTGACTAATTTAAAGTTTGAATAATTCTGAGCTTTTTTGACAGCCCTAAATTAAACAATGACCCTAAAGAGATTAAAAACTTTAAGTTGACTAAAATATAAGACTAAATAATCCAGTGATTCAATTAAACCATGACCCTAAAGAGATTAAAAACTTTGACTAAAATATAAGACTAAATAATCCAGTGATTCAAATGCATTTAATAGGTCATGTAGTGTTTAATATTTTTTTTTAAAAATAATTATACAAATCATATTTTATTGATTTGATTGAACTAAGAAAATATATTTTTAGATATTAGCTGTATTTATGAATTTCCTTTAATCTTTTTGTTATTATTTAATGTTTAATTTTATAAAATCATTGAAACAAAAACTTATATCATAATAATTTCTTTAAGGAATAATTACATACACAACACCTGAAACATTACTATTTACAAAATCAACACTCAAAAGTGATATTTTTGAACTGCCCATTCAAACCATAAAAAATGTGATAAAAATGAGAAATAATGGTGCATGTTTTATGATGAATTTTAATATTTAAGTGAACTTAAAAAATGAATGAAAGAGGGTGTTATACTTATAAATAACAATATTTTGGGGGCTATGTAATTGCCCCTTTCTTTGAATATTAAATTAATAAAATCCCATGAATTATAAATGAATGTAAAAAAAAAAAAAAAAAAAAAAAAAAAAAATTACGAGAATTTAATGTATTATTTACTTCACATTCTGCAGGTATAAATTAAAAAACAAAATACTACATAATATTCATAATATATATTATCTAAACTAAGAATATCCAAGTTGTTAACCAAGCTAAACAAACAAGGCTTTTAGTTTGATTTTGTTCAGTTTTAGAACTAAGTTGATCAATTCAATAAAAATCAATTAATTTAACTCATAACATACACCTCTAGTTATAAAAATGTAAGCTCACCCAGTCAAAATGCAGTTATATTGTTTCACAAAAAAATAAAAATCATCCTCAAATTTTACGTCAACCTTCAAACCCAAATGATGAAGACTAACAAAAAATTTCTGACTTATTTAGCAATGCCCTTGACAATGTCAAGACAGCAAAGTTAAAAGCTAAAATCTGCACATACTTATTAATTTATCAAAGCTAGACAGCTCATATACCCATACCTTATTTAATTTGGATTGAGCTCAAAAAACAATGTCAATGTACAAAAAGAATTATACTAATAATATACCCACTTCATCTCTCTCTCACTCTCTCTCTCTCTCTCCCCCCACACATATATATATATATATATAATACAAAAAATTTACAAGACAAATGCCACCAATAAAAAAAATAAGCTAATCCGGTTCTTGATTTCTGAAACATGGACGTTCAAAGCAGTTGTAATGCCTGCTGTTTTATAAAGCCAAATATTGTAAGGTGGTCAAATCATCTATTGATCCACTGAAGCTTCTAATATCTGTGGGGCATCATCATCAGAAACCCTCATGGGTCTCCAATCGGATTCTTCTTTCAGCTGGCGGAGGGCAATGAACTGAAGCGCTGCGCTCCGTACTTGATAAATGTAGCAAGCCCACGGATAAGCATCGGGCGAGCTCCACACCATTTGATCCTCAAATTCTGCCTCTACTGCCATTTCTGCGCTGATGCAATATGCAGAATCGAGTGGTGGTTCCTCAAAATCAGAAACTGCGACACAACCGAGAGCTATGAACCCATCTGGAGGTCTTGGAAGCCAAATGGACAAAGGAGAGGTGTAGTCATTGGAACAGTTCCTCCAAACCTGTGAAATTAAGTGATAGAGTCTGTAATACTTGAGAAACATCAAAGGTACAAGAGACTTTTATCTCAACCAATGGCTATTGTGCTAATTTTTAAATGTTGGGCAGATAAGCAATACTTTCTAATCATTTTCCAGTTAAAATTTGATAAAACTCAAAGCTTTGTCTTGCAATATTGACATGGTAAAAAACTTAAGTATTGCAGTCCAACAGGTGGATATGAGTTACTTCTTAAATAAGTATTGCAGTCCAACAGGTGGATATGAGTTACTTACTAGGTCATAACCCACAGGAAGCGAGAAGTTTCCATCAGATTCTCTATAGATTGCAGCTACATTAGGTGGATGATTTCCAATATGAGCCACATCGCCAACAGAAACATACCTATAAAAAGTCATACCACGCTGAGATGCACACAGTATATGAGCAAATACAAAGAAAAGGAGAAAAGTGTCAATTGGAAAGTCATACCTACTTTAATGTAAGCCACATCGCCATTTTGACACTTTTCTCTTTTTCAATTTAACGCGAAAGTAAGTTGACCTAATTTAGGATGGATTGAAAAAGAGAGAAGTGTCAAAATGGAAAGTGTCAATTTAATCTCTAAAGTATTTTAATATGGGTTGAAATAGTCCCCAGTAAGAACCATTTTAGCCCCATTATAAGACTCTGGTACTAATTTAGCACTTTTAAAAATTACGGGGATTAAAATGGCCCCATCGAAATAATCAGGGGACCATTTTGGCACTTAATTCAAAAATGAAGACATCCACATGCATAGAACAGGACACCATCATTATTACTGAGGGAAAGGTAGCTGTCCCAGTCTCCACCTCTTAATATTTCAAAACAACTTATTCAGAAAATTGAGATAATCAGTGACAAGTTAGAACTAATTAGTCATATGCATAAGGCTAAGTACACAATCTCTTCTAGTAAAGAACGACTTGAGCTTAAGTCTGAAAGTTAATTTACCCATTTGGACAAAATGGTCTCCAAATGCTGCATATGGTGCCATCATCAACAACCTAAAAAATCATTTTACATCACAGGTAAGAAAGAGTAGTGATTGAAAATGCATGGGGATTGATAATTTTTTGAATGTCACCTGCTTTGGAAACAATGTACATCTACTTTTATATTCTTGTTCACTACTCCAGATCATTCGAAAATTGACACAATGTTTCTTGAATCTCATATCATCAGAAAGCGAACTGGCAGAAGAAAAATCTCTTGGCTTGATCATAGGTTTAAGGCTTTTATAGGAATCCCTCCCATCTGATTCATCCCAAGCAAACTGGACATGGCGTTGGCTGGAAGGAACCTGTTTACTCATTTACAAGTGTTTCAGGGAAACGAAATCTCCATGAACTATGCCAATCATTATTATGGAAATATTTAAAAGGAAATCTAACTAACCCTCAAAGTCAGGACTTTCAAATCTGATTGGAGAGCAGCAGCTTTCCACATCCTCCGTATACAAGAACAGATGATAACAGCTTGAGGTTCTCGTTCTTCCTCTTCATCTACATTGCACCTGACAACTCGCACAAAGCTTTCTGACCTCCTAAAGTGCTTGAGATGGATGATCAAATGTGATGGCATACTATGTCCTGCTTTGGCCAATTCTAGTGCCAGAAGTTCTTCCCAGGGTACGTCCCAAACAATCTTTGAGGGTCTTTTGCCCAATTTTTCAAGGGATGAAGACTAAAAAAACCAAAGAAAAATAAGAATTATTAAGTAGAAACTATCAGTGGATCCACGTACTTTTAAAAACAAGTGCAAGCTTAACCTGTAGCAGCATGACACGCTTGCTAGTTATCATAACAATCCTTTGGTATGGCACAATGAAATGATCTTCATAAAAATCAGACCAAGCATATTTTGAAGGCTCTTTGAATAAATCAGTACAACTCAGGTGTCGGCTGGCTTCCGCTAAATAAAGAATCATCTGGAAGATAAACACAAAATTAGGTGCAACGACTTCTTCGATCAAATTTCAAATGAAATAGAAATAATTATTTGACAAAAAAGATTGAATTACAGCATAAAACTATAGCCTATATGAACTTCCACCAATCCGTTACCATGATGTTTAAAACAATTAACTCTACTGACTGGTTAGAGTTTGCTATGTGAAACCATGTTCCTTAATTATGAAAACAAAATTAGGAACTGATTCCATCCTAGTTAAATCACTACGATCAACTTCTTTTCATGTCAAATTTAGCAATGCATCTTGTTTGTAGCCCTTTCAAACAAGAACAGGCCAATTTGAATTCAGGTAGAACCTCTGACAACTGAATCAACCGCACCTTCACACCAGTATGGTGTATTGTTTCATTAAAGTTCAGGATATTAGAGCAAAAAATCAAACATTATAATGCATTATTCCCTTTAAGGTGGAATATACACTGCGCTAGTCATACGAAAGTTCCCAGCTATCACTAATCTCCTATACGGAAGCATTAACAATTTCATAAACCTACCACTTTTCATTTGTTTTGGTTTTTGCTAACATAGGTAGCCTTTGAAAATCACACAAAAGCCGAGCACAAAATATCATTGAAAAAAGGTTAGTAAATGACGAGGGAGCACCCTGTGTAATCGCGGGATCAGAAATCCCGAGAACTCCCGATCGCGGGATCCTGCAATTCCCAGGAAGCGGAGAGACCCATTTATCTTTTTCCATTGGGATGCAAATTTTTGCCGGAATTCTCACAGTTCAGTTTTATCTTCCAATTTTCTTATTTCTAAATAGGGTTATTTTCTATCATGGCTATCTATATATTGTTATTTTCAAATTTCGCACTGTTGGATTTTTTTTTTTTTTTTTTGCAAGTGGTGTGCCCCTTAGCTCGTGCCGGAAGAAGTGGACCTCCTCGATATCCATACACGTTGTTTCGTGATTCTCCTTGTGTTTTCAGCCAAGACATTCGCTAATCGACGCCGATTCCTATAACGCCTTGTTTCATCTCCTCGAGGCAGTCGAAGAGAGGAAGATGAAGCGAGCGATCGGGAATGCAAAGGGATGGTTCCTCCTATAAATCATCACATATGAGGGAGGCAGAGGTAAACGAGACTGACTTGCCAGGGGGAGTCGATTGACATGTACGAAGGCAATAGACTGATAAGCACAAGCTAGGTCTTCTCCATGCATCAATCAAAGTCAAAGTTGGCGACGTTGACCGACGATGACATAAGAGATTGACCAACAGGGGGAGACGTGATGCTAGGGCTCAACGACGATGATAAAGATTTCGATTGAAGCCGAAGGAATACTCTTCCAACGGCTCTGGTGCGACGTTGACCGAAGGAAGCACCTTATCAATCTGCTAGCTGGATTCCTACCGAGAACTAGAGTCAGAGACAAGACTAGATTGGGATGACCAACACTTTTTGAGTGCTTGGGAGCATTTTGGGTTTTTTTGATTTCTATATGTACCCATCTTTTACATTTTTTTTTTTGTGTGTTGTACCGTGTAGGTTGGGTGTTTAGGCCAGATTTTGGGTTTTTTTGATTTTTATATGTACTCATCTTTTACATTTTTTTTTTTTGTGTGTTGTACCGTGTAGGTTGAGTGTTTAGGCCCACACATACAAACCTATCTGTACCTTTCTCTTTAATATATATAATAATATATATATATATATACCGAACACAAGCTTCTTAACCAGCCGAACACCAGCTGGTCACGAACAATGAGCTGTTTTGACAACCCTATCCCCGACTTGCCGCTACACCCTTTAGCAACCCTCTATTTGTTGCCGCACCCTCCCGGAGTTCTATTGCCTGCTGCTGCACCTTTCCGCAACCCCTTGTTCGCTGTTCAGCAGCCAAACTACCTTCCCCTCACTGCCACTAAACCTCACTATCACATACAAGTCTTCCTTCTACTATCTCGACGTACAACCCACCACCGTCGACCATCGACCCAATCTATCTTTATGTTTGTTTTGTTATTTTAAGTGTCTTGTTTGTAACTCCTTTTGAATTTCAACAATAATATTATCATTCCGTTATGGGTTTGGATTAACTACAATGTCATTTGGTATCAGAGCTAACCTCCAAGGATTTCTAGCATTTCTACACATCTCCACCCCAAAAATTTACTTTTCTACCCTCAAGACCCTCTTCCACTCACACAAACCCAAACTCTAACTATGCCACCAATGAAACACATGCCGAAACCTACCCAGAAAGAGATATAGTGAGAGATTCGTCGAGTTCAGTAGAAAATTCTGGAGATTGATGACAAAACTTAGGGGAGAATTACTCTCGATTGTGAAATGGAGAGTTAAAGAGAAGAAAAGGGAAGATAATTTGAACCCCTTTCATAAGGACTTCTAAGATGAGGACATACCAAGAAGCCTCGTATCCAAGACAAAAATTTCAGAGGAAAAGTGGATTTACAGAAATTCGATTGAGGGATGGATCAAAATGATTTCATCGAATGGTTGCAGTCGGTCGAGAGAATCTTTGAGTACAAAGAGATGCCAGAAGACAAAGGGTAAAGCTTGTGACCATCAAATTGAAAAGGAGTGCTTCCTTGTGATAGGAAAACTTGTAGAGGCAAAGAAGAAGGGAAGGAAGTGACAAGATTACTGGATGAGAGAAGATGAGAAAAGAGATGCATATAAATTACTTACCTCCTTACTACCATCATGATATGTTTCTGAGGCTCAATCACTTACAATAGAGAGACTTATCAGTAGAGGACTTCATTACACAATCTGAATAGTTGCAGATGAAATGTGAGTTGTTCAAACAGGACGAACATATCATAGCCCAATATCTAGGGGGCCTAAAGCCCGCTATCAGTAACATTGTGTCACTGGGAGATGTCTAGACCTTAGCCTTAAAGGTGCAGAGACAGCAGAAACAACACAGACAACCGCCCTCATTTATACGACCATCTACAATTGCTGCTACCAACAAGGCTATATCTCGAGGACTAGGAAGATCAAATAGGGATGTGACAAGAAAGATTTGAGCCGAAAGAAACCCATAAAGTAGTAATTCGCCCAATACAGTGCCCGTCAAAATACATTTTAGGCGCCATGGCTATGGACACATAACCTCCGACTGCACTATAAATCGAGTTGTTTCATTCACTATGCAGAGTGTTGTGGAGGAAGTGGGTGAGGAGGAAGCAGAGGAGGATTAGGAGGAGGAATTTCAACTCCAGGGAGATGAAGGAGAAATGCTAGTAGTAAGGAGGGTCCTACTGACTGAGTCGAATAAGGATCATTCGTGGCTAAGGCATAGTATTTTCCATATAGTGTACCATAAAAGGAAAAATATGCAGCCGGATTAGTAACGATGGGAGCAGTAAGAATGTAGTATCCACTTTGATGGTGCAGAAACTAGAGTTGGCCATGCAGAAGCATCCCCAATCTTACTCCCCTACCTAGTTTAAAAGGGGAAATGAGATATATGTGGATCAATAGTGCTCGATTGAGTTTTCTATTGGAGATGAACTACAAGAGCAAGTGTGGTGTGATATGGTACTTATGAACGCTTGCCACATTTTTTGAGGAGACAGTGACAGTTTGACCACAAGGCCTAATAGAACGGGTTCAAGAACACTTATTCATTCAAGAAGGAAGAACACTTATTCATTCAAGAAGGATGGAAGATGCAAAATTCTTTTGCTCGTCAGGGACGTGAGAGGAATAGACATACTAAAAATATGATAGAACCAAAAACCACCTTTATGCAGTCGGTACGAGAGGCTCCAATGACAACAACTTTAGTCTTGTTAATGGGAACTTAGGAGGTTGAGATACCAAAACTCATACAACCACAATTATGCGACCTTCAAAATGATGACTGACAACCTTGCAGAGGGATGAACACCATTGAGGAGCATATAGCATGTCATATATCTCATTCCCGAATCAGTCTTGCAAATAGGCTTGCCTATAGATTGAGACCTGCAGAATACGAGGACTTACAATGTCAGGTACAAGATCTCGCTGTGAGGGGTTTGGTCAGAGAAAGTACTAGCCTGTGTATTGCCCCTACCTTGATGATACTTTAAAAAAAAGGATAAAACGATAAAGATGTGCAACAATAGTCAAACCATAAATATAATCACTATCAAATATAGGTTCCCCATATCTAGCTTGGATGCATGACCTCTTAAATCAGTTGCATGGAGCCATTGTCTTTTTCCATGATCGACTTATATAGCGGATATCACCAGATCTAGATGAGACCAAGGAATGAGTGGAGGACTGCTTCAAAATCCAGGATGGATTATATGGTTAAACAATCATGCATTTCGAATTGTCTAATGCGCCTAAAAAATTCATGAGATTGATGAATCAAATGTTCTAGGCTTACATTGGAAAGTTCTTAGTGGTTTACTTTGATGATATTATGATACACAACATATTTGAGGAGCACTTACAACACCTGAGGACAGTCTTCGAGGTCTTGCGATCAGAGAAAATATACACCCACCCAAAGTGTCACTTCTTGACAACACATGTATACTTTTTGGGCTATATTGTATCTATGCAGGCATTCAGATGAATCCTACAAAGATTGAGGCCATTTTGAGCTGGACAACCCACAATCCTTTTTTGAGTTGAGACATTTTGGGGCTGACATCATTCCATAGACGATTCATTAGAAGCTTTAGTACCATCATAACTTCCTTGATAGAACTTTGCAAAAGAAATTCCAGTGGACAGATGTAGCTCAGTCCAGTTTTGATACACAGAAGGAGGTGACCCAAGCGCCATAATTTGCTTTACCAAACTTTAGTCAGTTGTTCGCGGGGTGGGGTGTTGGGGGGGGGGGGGGGGGGGGGGCGGAC